AGCTTATTCGAGAAGAATACTAGGCATGAATGCTATGAGATAGCCAAGAAGCTCTTTAGAGCTAAAATGGATAAATGATCTAATTTCAAAAAGCATGTCACTAATATGATAGGCTATATCGACAAGTTGATCAAACTTCAAGTTGGAATGGATGCTGAATTATCCATTGACCTAATATTGCAATCGTTGTCAAATAGTTTTGGACGAGTTCATCGAACTTCAACATGATACAAATAAAAAAACTCTTAAAGAGTTCCTATCCATATCGAGAAAAGCTCAAACTAAGATTAACAAGAAGATTAAGTGTTACGTACTTCTTGTTAACAAAGAAAAAGGCTCGATGAAGGGAAAGAAAAAGCCCAAACACCAAAAGAAAAAATCTTCTACTATGCCTACTAGAGGGGTGAAAGAGGTCGAGGCTCGGAATAGCTCAAATGATGTGGTCTACTTTTATTGCAATAAAAAAAGGCATTGGAAGCTCAACTACAAGGAGTACCTAGAAGAGGTGAAGAATAAGAGTTTTACAACCACCTCGAGTACTTAAGTTATTAAAGCTAATTTTTCTATTTCTAATCCTACCTCATAGGTATATGATATTATATGTAGTGCTCACATTTTAGAAATATACAAGAGCTTAGAAAAAAAAAAGATAGCTTCAAGGGAGAATGATCTACGGGACGACAATGGATTAAGAGTTGGATCATTAGTTGTAGACACTTATAACTTAGCACTACCATGCAAGCTTGTGCTAAAAGTCAATAATTATTATTGCATTCCTAGTATAGACTATGAATATTATTTCCATTACTTATTTAGAACAAGATATTTTTCATTCTTATTTAAGAATAATGGTTATTCTTTTTAAAGATGAAGTTTTGCATGAAAATTGTTTGATTAATAATAGTTTACATGTTTTGAACATATTGAAACTCCCACATGTAACATAAATGTTAAATGACTCAAATGATCTAAATAATAGATATTTATAGCATTTTCAACTTAACAATATAAACAAGAATCGTATATCCAAACTAATCATTAATGGATACATAAAATTATTTGATGATGTCTATGAATCTTGTTTACTTAGAAAAATGACATGAATCCCCTTTTAGTGAAAAAGGAGAAAAAGCTACTAATTAGTTAGGCCTTATATATAGATATGTATTTAGATCCATGCTCACCCATGTAAAAGAGGGACATGATTATTTTATAACTTTTGTTAATGATAAATCATGTTTTAGTTATGTATGAGACACAAGTCTAAATCAATTGAAAATTTTAAAGAATTTAGATTTAAAGTCAAGAAACGAACTAATAAAAGTATCAAGATATTTCGATCGGATCAAGGTTATAAATACTTAAGCACCGAATTTTTAGATCATTTAAAAGAGAATGGGAATCTTTATCAATGAACTCCACCTTAGAGCACCATAATTGAATGGTGTGTTAGAAAAGAGGAATAGGACGTTGTTAGACATGGTCCGATCCATGATGAGTTAAACCGATATCCTCATTTTATTTTGGAATATGTACTCCTTATTGCAACCTTTATTTTGAACAAGGTTCTAACAAAATCTATTAATTAGACTTCATATGAGATATGAAAAGAAAAAAAATGAATTAATTTTTCCTTAAGATTTGAGGCTATAAAACATATGTCAAACATTTAGACAGAGACAAGTCGAAACCTAAATCAACAAAGTATAAATTTATGGGATATCCAAAAAATAAATGGATATCATTTTTCCTACCACTAGAAAAAAGTATTGTTCAAGGCTAGGCATGATGTATTTCTTGAGAAGGAATTTAAAGATGTTACAAATAGTATGAGAAAATATGAACTCAATGAGATTTGAGTAGACTCACAAACTTGACACTCCACCAAGTGGAACCCTAAGTATATAAGTTATAAAGTATTGTAACTATCCCATAAATAGATACACAAGAACTTTATAGGTCTAAACAAGTTCATCGGGAGAAAAAGGATATGATCTTCGTATCTCGACACATGGTGATATGCATCCTAAAGAGAATGATAAAGCTAATACTCGTGAAGAGACAATGTTAGACATTGACTCCTAGATATGATAAATGGATGATAAAATCATTTTCCTTTTAAAAAATTGAATAAGAATGTGTAGATGACATACCCCGATGGTTCCGTCACCAAATAATATGTAAATAAGATTTATAAATTGCAAAGGTCCATTTATGGACTTAAGCATACCTCTAAGAATTAGAATCGATGTTTTAATGAAATAATCAAAGAGTTTGATTTTTCACAAAAATAAAGATGACTCTTATATATACAAAAGGTTAGTAGGAGCTTATTAGTCTTGGTTATTCTATATGAAAACAAACAAACTACTTCTCAACTATAACATTATCATGTTGCAATCTATAAAAAATTAAGTATTCAAGAATTTCTTTATGTTTGACATGGAAGAGCAACCTACATTTTAAGAGTGGAGATCTATAGAGATAGATCACATAGAATGTGAGGGCTCTCCCAAGATAGGTACATTGACATGATACTAAAAGGTTTAATATGAAAGAATCAAAGCAAAGATTTCTTCCAATATCACATAGCTTGATGGTCGACTACAAAAGATCCATAACGTAAGCTAAGAAACCAAGTTCTCATCAATGATCCAAGCATGAGTTGTGACGCTATCACTTGATTAGAGAGATTATCAATCATAGTGATATAAGGATAGAAAAGGTTCATACTAACGATAACCTAGTTGACTCCTTGACTAAGCTTTTGTCATGGCTAAAACATGAGACCCATATTCGATCGTCGAACATAAAGGACATAACTGGTTGGCTCTAGTGCAAGTAGAAGATTGTTAGTGTAGGTGCCCAAGATCCAACCTTGTTTGAATGATTTAACTTATTATAATATTTTATTCTTTATTTAATTAATAAAAGAAGCATTTCTATTAATTATTGTCGTTTATATTTTGATAGAATTAGATAGAAGTCCATATGATGTGCATTGATGATTGATCGAAAGATGTGAGACAAACATTAATGCACTTATATGATATCATTAAATGTCTCAAGTCGTAGCATTATTAAGAATGGACATGGACTATATGTGAGCTAGCACTTTGTGATTTCTATGGTTTCCTTTGTTGGTGTTTAAGTTGCTTCGATTATTGATAGAAGTCGGACATTTGGACGGGTTTTTTCCGTAAAAGCTAAATTTGCGCTACAAGAGGTAAATCTTTTACTCATGCTTTTAATTCATATATGTATAATTAGTTGATTCAACGGCTTGATCTTAGAAGCCTTAGATAGAAAAAAATATATTTTATTTTACATCTCCATAGGATGCATGATCCTTCACCCTAACTAGGAGTCTATCAAACCGTGTTTGATACTCACAAATGGTGCCCATTTGCTTTAGTTTGCACAAATCAACAAAAAAAATTTCAAAGTTGGATGTGCCAAATCGTTTGATTAGATCATCCTACCAAGTCATTCCTAAGCGTATCCCTTTCTTCTGTTTAACCCGTATCTGGGCATCTCCCTCCAAATGGAAAGTGGACAAGCGAACTTGTTCTTCCGTAGCAATGTTCTGGAAGTCAGAAAATCACTCTGGATCATCAGACCCATCTTAACGTGGGAAATCCAATTTGACTAATTTGGAGCAAAATTTCTCTGGTTTCCATCCCCTTGAGTGTTTCGGCAGATCCCTGATTTGAAATGGTTGAAGCATCTCTGTAAGCTATCAACTTAAACTCTCCATTTGGTGCTCCAATCAAAGGAAATGCTGGTCGACAGATTGTTTGACCATATTAGGCTCTGATACTAAATTGTTAAATGTCTGGATTTCTCCACGACCTACACCTCGACCATGCTTCCTATTCCTAACATGAGCTATTTTTAGAGAGCTGTCAAAACAGAAAAGATAAGATAGTGTTTTGGCTGAAAAATTCATATCCTTCATTCAATTCCAGGAGTCATTTATATAAGACTTATTACAACGGTTATTAACAATAAAATAGGAGACGATCAAATCCTAACGTGCCGTTTTATTCCGACTTAAAGAGATTAATACTGGCTAGAACTATTCTAAGGGAAGAAAATAACAAACAGAACAAAAGGTTGAGCTATTCTAACGGATGACAATAATTGGAGTTGGAGGTATGGGGGAGACGGATTGCTTCAGGCTTGGATTTGGGCATCATGCATGGAAAGCCTGTTGTGTAGATGGACTGTTCTTCTTTTACGCCATGGGAATCTCAGGTGAATACTACACCAAAAAACAGCCGGATAACCAGGGGGTTTTGGAATGTTTGTTTCCATTTTTGTTTTAGTTCTTGCCTTCGACACAAGGGTTGTCGCTTGTCACTAATAATGATGATGTTGGCTTGTCAAGGGCTCGTTTGGTTCCCGTCAAATTACCAAACCGATGCTCCTTACCACTCGGTTGCTATTTAATAGGTTAGGTCCTGTCAGGGCCTGAAATTTGAAGGTGGACCCATCTGCAAACATATGATGCTGGCAATAATTGCACATGCTAAATTGGTTCATTGGTTGAGCTCAAGTGCTCTAGATAAGGCATTGCTTCATTTGCGTCAACAAGACAACATCATATACACAAGCATGATATATCAATACTGTCTATCATTACTGTTAATCCTAGCTAGCATTCTTCGGCTTATAGCATCCACTGTCTTATTCTTTATCTTAATATTGTCATGTAATTAGTTTTATTCAAAGTTGTCCTTATAAAAATAAGATTAATTAACTCACAAATAATTACTATATATATATATATATATATTACATTTGAAGAAGCTATAGATCTGCAAGTTTGCAACGATAATTGATAATGCAAGCTAAGTTTTGGGGACATGCAACAAACCAAAGTTGAGTTCATTGAAATTCAAACAAACTAGTACACGCCATAATTAATTTAATTGTATGCAAACTTCTTGGCGATAATATATATATATATAATTAGGTTCCTTGCTGCCCCGGGCACCTCATGCGTTCATGTTGGTGTCGTTGATCAGTGTTAAACCAAACCGGGTGCGAGGGAGATGAGCCCACTGAAACGAAATAAACAAACAAAATGTCATCGTTCTTACTATATAATATTGTATAATGCACTTTGTTTAAGAGAATATATGACCAATATGTATTATCCATTTATACGATACGCTTGAGATTAATCGAGAAGAAAGAAATAAAGCACTCTTCAATGACTTCTTATCCATTCCAAAGTCAATTCGAACATCTTCGGATGATGAACAACCCTAACTGAAAGACCTACTTAAATTCTCACATCAAGCTAGCACAAAAACCTTTATGGATAATTTATTAACTAGTACATCTTTGGATAATGATATTTTAAATGTTCTTGATATGCAATCCGATCATTAATGATGTTAAACTCAGAAAATTGAATCTCTTTCTCCCTAATCTATAAACTTTTAGAAATCTTTGCTGAAAATGTATTAACTCAAACACGCAATTAAAATCAGTTGAATTTCACCTAAATGGTAGAGTGCAATATTTGACATTCATATATATATAGATCCTTCTATTCTTTGTGCATGTCCAGTAAAACAAACATGACTAGCTTTCATTAGGTTATTCCAGAGTTCAAAAATTTATTGGTCAAGAGTATATATGGAAAGATCAAGCCTAGCAACTTTTTTTAAAATATATATATATATATATATATATATATATATATATATATATATATATATATATATATATATATATATTTGTTGCAACTTACGTTCTTGGCTGCACTGCTGAAAGCTTCTCTATGGCTAATCTCAGGATTTTTTACTTTTATCCTTCTAATCTCCTCTCTACACAGACAAGGAATTAAGGATTAGTTGAAAACACATAATAGTACTTAGTAGTTATCAAAATGGAAAGCGAGATTATGAATACTTACTTAATAAATCTGTTGTATGCTGAAGGAGTTCGTGGTTTCTTCCCCATTGCAGCTTAATTCATTGCAATTGAAAACTACAATGTTAGGCATTTATTTATACGAACTAAAATTTGAAGATTCTTAACATATAAAACTAATGCTATAATACAGACTCCGATCTCCCTCCATTTAAAAGGGACTAGGTAGGGCTAGGTATTACAGACGCACACGCACACAGAGAGGGAGAGATACTACCATGTACCGATAGTGTTCTGCTGGGCTGTTCTTTCTGTGAAGGTTCCAACCTAGAAACCTTATTGCCCGTGGAAGAAGACTGAGAACCCTCACTTAAATCTTGATAAAGCAAGTTTTGTTTCTGCAAAATTCGTAAATCAATACATGTCAAAGATATATAATATGGCCAAGACAAAACAATAAATATGTTCTTTTATTCCTTCCAAGTGCTTTAAACAAAAAATCTCTCTTTTTTTTTTTTTTTAAAGAAAGAAAGGAAGAATGAAAATCAGCTATGTATATTACGACATGCGATCAGAACTAATTATCTTCTTAATTAATCGTACGTGAACATTTTGAAGATGAGCATTCTGTAGCAAAGCTCCAGTATTCAAAGACAACAAATTAGCACAACGTCCACACCCAACAGTCACTGTATTAAACAAGATAGTACTGGTACTGCATGGAACGGTCACCTGCAAAAAGATTATCCCCAAAAAACTCAAATTAAAACTCTTTATATATATCTTGTAAATGGGATTGAATAGTTTCTTAAATAAAACTACTATATATGTGAGCTTTCAAATTCATAGTCTGTACAATCTCTCTTTTACTATATATATATGGGAAGACTGAGAATCCATAAAGCTAAGGATACATTAATTGATCTCACAAGAAGAAGAAGATCAAGACATTGGTGATTACTCTCAAATTTTTCTTTCATTTTCTTTTTGGCTTCGACAACAAGGTGTTCTCAATGGAAGCTAGCATTGCTACATTAGTGATGCTTCTCATTAGTAACAATTCCACTATTTAAGTGCGCCTGACACAGTATGCAGTAAAACTTTAAAAGTGAAGGGATAGAAAATGACATGACATGAACAGAAACCACCAAGCAACAATCAGGGCTCTGAAACATGGTTATGAATAAAGGAGAAATGGATCTATGAGCAGATCTGTCTGCTTTTTTGCAGTCAGTCATGAAATCTATGCCTTTGATCATTAATTCCTTAAAACTGAATCATAAGATGTTGCACGTGAATGCAGGTTATTATTGAAATTTCTTGATAAAGGAGGGCTTGGTTATAGGAATTATTTTTATGTTAAAAAGAATAAGGTATATATTTTTGGTTAAATTCTATGGATGGCAAAAAGAAAACTTAAAAATAATAAAATCATCATCTCCAAATTAAAGCATAAAATTCGAGAAACACTTCACAGCATGAACAATTGGGTTACTGTTGGTCTTTTTCGCTTCTGACTCCTGAGCCTCCCAAGAGTTGGAGACAAAGGGTTTTCTTTTTTACTGTTTTGTAGAAGTTTTTTCCTTGTTTTAGGGGTGAATCAGCTGAGCTTTGGTTGGACAAATGATTGGATTACATAGGGGGATATAAATATGATCCTCGGTAAAAAAGATACACTTTCTCGAATACAATCTTGTTATAATATACTATTAAAACAAACATGTATAGTAGCATGAAGAATTGCAGGAAAGCAAATAAACATCAAAAAGCAATCCTTGGACAAGAAAGGGGTTCAGGTTGGTCTGTGCAAGAAACCCTAGGTCCCCGCCACAGCTAGCCTTAGACTTTAGCCTTTTACCTTCCAGTAGACTGAAGGTACTTCGGTAAACGAATCTAGATATTATAGACAATTAGATCATAATTAGAAGGAAACTGAAACATTTATATATATAAATAGGCTGATATATGTATGCAACAAAAAGGAAATATGCTCAATGACAATGGATCTTTCCATCAAAAAGAACAAAAGAAAAGTCTATGGATCAAGCAAATTAGCTTATAATACACTAAAAAAAAAAAAAAAAAAAAAAGGAAGAAGAAGAAGAAGAAAAAAGTAAATGAACAAGCTAGATCCTTCAAACAAAACAAATTAAAAAGATGGGTTTAACTATATATATATATATATGTTTCTGAGATATGATTTATTTCCTTTTCTGTGCAGAATCAAAGAAATAGACTGACCATATATAGGTTTTGAACCAAAACCCTAGCACATGATATATATCAACAAAGCTACTGCTTGAAAATTTTTAGCGATGTTCTAAAATTTAGCTATTAACATATATATGAAGTTGAACTTCAGGAAAAAAAAAAAAAAAAAAAGTTAGGAATTAATTAAAAGAACCACGAACCAAGCTAGGTAGCTAGCTAGATGCTTGATTAGTGGAGCACGTAAAGGTGGAGTGAGTGAATAGAGATTAGAGAGGCACATGTACCACTAAAATGGTGTTGCAGAAATTGCAGTGAACATAGCAAACACGTTCAGAAGCAGTGTCTAGAGACATTCTAGGGCAGAATTGCAAATGATAATCAGCAGATAGGAGAGAATCTTGTTACGCAAAAAGTAAGATGACAGCTTGAGGAGTTAATGTGGAGAGATATTGGAAAATGAAGTGGGACTTTATAAAGAAACAAGTCACTTTTCTAAATAGAGAGAGAGAGAGAGAGAGTTAAGTTTTTGTTTGTTTTTGCTGTGTGATTGGCAGAGAGGTGATGCCTGCTATTATACGTCATTCTTTAGGAGGAGTATTAAAACTCTCCAACTAATGTCACTGCAATTAATAGCATGATGGGTAATATATGTGGCATAGCTACCCAAGATTTATGGTTCTCTGATTTGATGTGAAGTGGGGCCGGGGAGCTTTAGAATTAGATGATAGTTATGTTAAAAAAAAAAAACAAAGAGTACTAATAGATAGCAAAGTTAGGAGAGTCCTAATTTAGATAAAAACTACTAGATCGTATGTGTCCAATCTTTTTGGATTGATCGAGTTTTTTTTTTTTTTTTTTTTATCAGAAAGACAATAAAACACAGATAATAAAGTTGGGTATAAAGCATTATAGTTAAACAACATAAAACGTAATATAAAACACTAAATAGACACACAAATAAAATATATAGTCAAGCCTACACATTGAAATTCCATACAAAGAGATAATTAATAAGGTTGTGAGTCGATTTTCTTGGTTGCTCTGATAGTTTCGAAACCCAAATCATTTAAGACAATTCTCGTACAAGTTTTGTTATCTTCAAGACTCAATATGTTTCAGTTTTGGTCTTATCGTTAAACATAAGATCTATAAGCAAATCTGTGTATAACAAAATATCAAAACCTTTTGTGACCATCTAAATCTAAATAAGTCAAAAAAGAGTTGGATGGAACACACTTGGAAACAAAACAAAAAGTTGAAAAAAGAAAAGAGGAGCCCTCAACGGCAGCCCTTAGCTGCAATTTTTGTGAAGGGGTCTTTTAGAGAGTTTATTTTTAATCAAACCGAAATAGTAGGAAAATACATCCACACAACACCATGTCTTACATTTCGACTGTTAAATAAATAAATAAACTGATGATATTCAATCACGTCATATCACATGCTGTGCAACAGCAGATAAAATTAAGGAAAGAATTAGTTCTGTAATTGAATCCTCTTCAAATTGAACTACAACCAAACAGAAGGTCCGCGTCCATGAAAATCATCCCCTTAAAGCATAATTTAGCAGTTCATCAACTTGCAACTTGAAATCGTTTGCCAAGCATAAACTTGAAGACATCAAATTCTGCTCATACAAGCAATGAACGAAATGATAAAAAAGAAAAGACGAAAAAATGTTCCTCTTGTTTTATTGCGAAAACTCAGTTCGCCTTCCAAAATCACTAGTCAGCTCTGCAAGGAGAGCGATGACCAGGCAGCCATGAACGTTAAGCAGCGCAAGCTATGCCAGGCTATGATTGTCAAACAAAATTGCCCATAACTGAAAATCACAACTCAAAACAGATGGTGGAAGAATAGAACTCAATCCAAGCAGGCATCACTTTCCCATATATTACCCTGATTAATCATTTACCTTATATACACATTCAAGGAAAGGGCAACGTACTCTATGACAAAAATATTGAACATTTCTCAAAACTCCTGTATAATTGCATGGAGGCTGGAGAATATATACATGGTAAATAAAAAGTGTTTGATCAATTTGTAACATCACCGACACCCCCTAAAAAAACTGTACAGCAAATCCTCCCCTGTACTTCCTGTGTTCCCTCCAATTCACAATTGTTTCCTGCTGCTAAAGAGCAAACCGCTTCTAAAGGGCAATGCAGGGCTTGAAATGGTTATCAAATTGTGACAAACATTTATATGAATATGTTTAAGCAACTCTCCTGTAGAAAAGTACATAAGCAGCTGATGTTTTAATATCATCCTCCCTAACAGGACTAACACGGCTGTCGTTGAACTCGTACCATCTGCGATAACCAAGCTGCATAGGAACAAAGATAAATTTTAGACTACATACTTGCAAACAAGAAAATATAAGAATTTGTCTGGATTATATGAAGTTGAACACACAAACACATCGATTTGTGCTTCAGAGTTGGAAACATCTCCAAAAAATTGTGTTACTGCCTTTTGTTTTAGCTTCAGCATGACCAACTAACATATCTAGAGATCTAAATTGCCAAGAAATATACTAATTAGAAAGGGCATTGTGAATACTCAGAACTGAGGATGACAATCTCCATGTGTATTAAATAAGATACCTAACAGAGCTCGAGAAAGAATTCGTTGAGAAAGGATATAACAATTAATCTTCTTTGAAATCTTAAATACACCCTCCATCCCCCCTCTATTACTTTAAAATATTTTCCACCAAAACAGGGGTTAATGGTTTACAAGGGAACTAATTTATGATTTTTTTTACCTTCTTATAAACCAATCTTACTAGTTGCACCTCAGACCTTCAAAAATTAACTTATAATTAAATTTTATGATTATTAGCTTTCCCACAATCTCTAACCAAACAACGAGAAATTGTTTTACTAGCATTCCCCACCTAAAAAATTCATAACAATGGGCAGGTAAATCTGCCCTTCCTCTCCCTTCTTATAATTTAATTCTATAAGTATTAGCTTCCCTCCATCTGTAATCAAACAGAGAGAAATTGTTCAACTTGAATTTCCCTACTGAAAAATTCATAACAACAGTTGGGTAAATCTTCCCTTCTCATCCATTCCTTTCCCCTTCCCTACCACCATACTAGATTCCAAAACAACTGAAAGGAATTAGGATAACAGTGCACGATCATGTTAATACATTTGCATTGTAGTCCTGATATGCCAGTACTCAATGCATTGCTGTTCACGTTATGAAAGACCAACGAGCTGGGACCATCAAAATCACAAACTTTCTAATATAGAGGGGTAAAGAAGAGAAAAAAACCTATCAGTTGGTGTCTAGAAAGCTCCATTAAGAATGCATGTTGCCCATTCTATTTCACAAACTTTTAACTCACTTGTTATAATAAATTTTAAAATGCATGGCACACACAGCTAGACACCCTGAAGGAGACATTTATTGGTCACTTTGACAATAATTGCCCCACAAATGCATATGCTCATTTCTAAACTGGGGATGCCCCCTAATGACAATTTTGCTGCATTATCCATCCCACAAATTCTATAACACCTAGGAGAACTTCAAAAATCATGTTAAGTAGGTGAGGAACACTAATATCAGAAAATCCTAGATTGATGAAGCCAGCCTAGACAGAAAACATGCATCAATAAAAATGAATATTTTCCAGATCAATGACAATTTTACATTACTCGGTCCAATCTGTGTGCATGCCTGTGCCCCTCTGTCGAATGGTTCGACATGCAGTCTCTTGACTAAAGACAAAAAAAGAAAATGCATAAATAGAATGAACACCACTTACATCAATAAATGAATCATAGTGACCACACCCCATGCCTCCATGATGATTACTTATTGCATACAATACATAATGATTGGAAAACTGGCTGTCCTTCTGGGAAGTGTAGGTCGACAGATCAAAATCATCAATTGGGAAGTCCACGTATGTTTCCAACTTGTTCCTAATATATCGACTGTATGAGAACCTCTTCAAATGAACAACCAAAATTTCAGGCAATCTCCAAAGGTCTAACTTTTTCCTAGCCTGGCGAGGCTTCTTGCAGCTGGGGCAATCCCTAAAATCAGATACAATCACGCCATCAGAAATAGTAGGAACAAGAAAAGTATACAACGAGTGATTTTTTGTGTGTGGCACACACAATAAATTCAAATAGAAATGCATATTACATATCTGTAAGCAAACAAATATGCAGGCACAAAAACAGATGTACAAACCAAAAAAAAAATCTTCAAGCAAAAATACATAAGTGGAGCACATTTATGGCAAATAAATGAATAAATCTTCAAGCAAAAATCTGTGAGCATTAATTGAGGTAGGGAGACACACTAACCACATGTCTTCTGGTCCTAAAGGCTCTTCTTTCAAGAAAGCTTCAAGGCATTTATATAAAGAAACAGATTCTGGAGGCCTCCTAGTGTATAGCTGCGGCTTTAAAACTTCTGGCAATGAGCTGAGAAGGCATGTATCATACTTCTCAATCATACTTTCAGACCAAGTTACATAGACCTCCAATTTATCGCTAAATTTTGGGATTGGCAATGGCTCATTCATCTTTATCTCTAATGATTGCAATCCATCTTTCAAGTAGAATTGAAAATCAGAGCTGGAACACTGGTCATCCTCTGTTCCAGAGTCCGAGCCTGTATTACTGTCTGAGATCGTAGGACTAAGGACATCATCCATTGTAGAATCTTCATTAGTTGTGATTCCCACATCATCATAATCATTAAATGCATTATCAGCAGGCATAAGAAGTGGACTTAGTAATTTCAGATATTGTTTATGGAGTTCAAATCCAGTAGAAAGATTCTCTAATCTTGCAACAAACGGAATGCCAAACAACTTCAAATTTGGTATTGCTCTCTCAAATTCACAAGGCCTGAACACCAATAGTAGAATAAGTCAGTATATAGCACAAATTGAGATTATTGCACCAAGCTAGAAGGAAAATTAAATATTAAAATAAGTAAAAGGAGCAGAAGAATGGCAACCAAATGGCCAGACCAAGAGTATAAATAAGCTCACCTTTCCACCCTTTCGTGCATAAAGACAACTAAGGGTGAATTTCTATTATCTTTTGGCAACCGATAAGCAACAAGTTTGTCTTCATCTCTGATCAAGGCTACCGAGTCAGATGGCTCAGTTAGGCAATGAAAAATTCTATTCTTGTATATCTACAACATCAGAAATTCAGAGTTCAAGAAGGTTACAAATACATAAATGGCGCATGCAAATTTTGACTTAAAATGCAAAACTCTTATCTAATCCTGAATCACCTATATATTTTAATTACTTGAGTAAACAAGAACAAATATCACAAATTAAATGTTCTAAATAAACTAGTTCTGATGAAATTAAGCAGTGGACGAGAGCAAATATCACATTAAATGTTCCAAATAAACTAGTTCTAATGAAATTAAGCTGCAGCAATCTCTCAAATTAAGCACTAGCGCCTTTGAAAGAGGCAACTAGCTCCCCATGTATTGAAAACCAGTCATGATACTCAAGAACATAAATGCAGCATACCTCGACCACCATCAGCATTTCATCATTTCTCAAAGAACATGCAATGCTTAAGGCCTCAATGAGATCCTTCAGCCTCCCACATTTGGGCACAGTTACAGTAATAGGGGTTGGTAAATTCTTCCCATCAGTGCTCAAGACAGTCAAAGTCATAGTCCGCATTGTTGTTGAAGGCAATGGCAGGGATAAGTACATAAACGGATCAAATGTGGCAGACTTCTTGCTGCAAGCAGGGCAAACCAACGTTGACTGATACTGACCCTATAATGACAAAAAAATAAAAATAAATAAATTACATTAAATTGACAAAACCAAGGAAGATCATCAGTCAGCTCAACTTCAAGGTTAAAAATTCAACACAATGCAAATTGAAAATAGATTAAAATCCACTCAAATTACAATCCATAAAAGATTGATGATCTCTGAGATTAGTTATTGGAAGACACTTATGGTAGTAGACTACTCATCAAAAACCCTTTTAGAAAGAAAGAATGCTAGAACTTTGGATTATCATCATGTACTGATGATTGCATGATTAAAATGACAAGAGACTGTCCAGCAGAAAAGAAAATTGGTACAATCCATATGACACGTGATCCCGCCAAAAAACAGAAACTCACTTGGCACAAATCAACTATGATTGAGTTATTGCGAGCCAGGTGATTCCTCCAATATTCTTCTGCTACCTCTTCGTCTGGGCGACCCTCTGCGTCTTTAATGGCTATATATGGCTTGGATTTTACACGATTCAAATCTTCATGGAGTCCATCCAACAAAAAAGAAAGAAACTCCTGCATTAAAAACATGTGTATTAAAGGTCATTTCCCCACGTGCCAAAGAGTATACTAAGAAGTTGTTTCCATTTTGTGCCATGCAACAAGACAGAAACTTATAACATGCAGAAGATAGAATTGGAAGAACTAAACAAGTATTAGAATCAAAAGCTATACTAACTTGAGAATCATGCTGATTGTAGCCACTGAATTGAGGAGCAAAATCTGCTAGTTTTCGCTTGAATATTGCAGGAGCCACTGGGGTATCTCCTGGTGTCCATAGCTTGCTTAACAAATCCCCAAATGCTAAAGCAAGCTCTCCCTAGAAAAATAAAAATTATTTACAAAGGCTTGGCCACACAAAGGAAGCAAAAGTTACTACAAGAAGATGGATTGATATAAAAGACCGGTCACAAACCTTCATCCCTAGTGGATTTTCCTGATTTATCTCTTTTCCATAGTCCCCAAGAAAATAGTCAACTAGCTTTGGGGTGTGTGCCAAGCACTGAATTGCACTATTCATGAAACATGTATTCCCAAGATTCTGCAATCCCCTCAAACCCAAGTAACCAACACCCCTAAAGCCACTCCCAGATTGTGAGTTCCTTAGGTTCGAATAAGAGCGCACATGATCAGTGCATCCATTCATTTTAACAGAACCAGATTCAAAAGAAGTCTCCATCCCATCAAAGTCAACCCCTCTATCTGTCATAGAATCTGAAAACCCATAGGCTTGCAATTCAAGTGCAATCTGCACGCAACATAAGACAAAATAACTACACTAAACAACAACTGCAATAAGCAAAATTAGTACATCAATAATTAAGAAGCTCTCATGGTTAACATCAGCCAAGAGCTTCTGCAACAGAAATAAAACGTGAAATAATCAGGTCACCTCTTTTCCATTTTCTCCCAGGGTATCATTAGGCAGGTTGACCCTATCATCCACGAGAAATTGAGTTGTCTGCCCTGAGAAGTCCCATATATGCAACTGTACAAAAGGTGAACTAAATCACAAAAGACTTCTTCCCAATAAAAATTCATATATCTTAGTGAGATAACAAAAGTCCATAAAAAACTAACCAGCTTTGGCTTGGGAACAAAAATATTGCAAGCTATCCTGTAAGAAGAAATCAGATTGTCCTGGAAATTGTAGTCTATTGTCAAATATTAAATCACAAAGAAGATTTATTTTTTTTAAAAAAAAAGGCTCTTGAATTTAGCTCCACTTCCGTGCTGTGAGAAATACATGCAAACTAATTAAATTAACTGAATTACCATGCTGGCTAGGACTAGCGAATTTTAATCAAGTATGAAAGGTTGATACACCCCTTTTAAGACTATCAACAAATTATACTCATACCGATGAGAAATAGCAGTACTAAGTAGAGTTTCCAAAAGTAGAAAAGTCATCAAAATCACAGTGATTCTTCAACCAAAATTAAACATGGTTCAACAAGAATGGAGAATGAAATAGTATATATTTGTTAAATTATATATATGTGATTGGGTATGTTGCAACACAAGAGATAGTGGAAGACGTGCAGGCTCATAAAGTCTAAACAAACCGGTCAAATATCAAGACTAGGCTTGACTACATCCGGCTAGGGATGGTGCCTGGTCCAGTAATCTGGTGCAAGCCCGGTTCAAACACCATGGCACTAAGCATTTGAAGCAAAGCATTCAAGAAGGGATCTGACTTAAACATTCAATATTGAAGCAAATACCCTTGGTTCATAAACATTGTTCTGCATAACAAAAGGAAGGAAAAAGAAAAAAGATCCATAAAGGAATTTGACCTTTGAGCTGATCTTCACAACCAAAGAATTTGTTCTCTTAGAAACTGAAAGCCTTATTTGTATGGGAAACACATCTTGCGAATAATCTTCAGCAATAAAAGCGCCACTAACATCCTTTATTACTCCTTTTGAATCATTATGCCTGTGGAGGTAGAACAAATCAATGCACAATGTAGTAGAAATCCATCGCCTCTATAGAATTTCCGAGAATACAGCAATTTTGCATAATTCACATAACACATCAGCACAAACATTGAATAATTGGGTGACAGGAACGGGGGGTCACAAAATAATGCTTAATGAGCCCAACATGCAAATCAACAACTATTGCGAGAGCTAAAAAGGGTCCAAAAACAAATCCTAACATATGTGTAAACCAAATACTCTGTATTCCTAAACAACTCATGCCTTGACCACATACAGGTAATGAATACATATTCCATGAACAAGCATACACATAATACATTACATGCATATCTACAACAGAAAAGGCAGCCAATAGCCCTCACCGTTTAAGCGCCCGTAACCACATTCTTCCAGATATTATAGCATACTCACGGCCAGAAAACCCTTCTTCAGTATCCTCACTCCTCTCAGAACCCTCTTTCTTCCTAAAATAAAGTGCAATCTCAGCATCGTCGTCGTCGTCGTCAAAGGTCGATGTTACATTGTACAAAATTCCTACTTGTTCACCACCAGCTTCCACCTCACTCCACCACCTAAAAAATCGAACACAACAAAATTTAACTAAAACACTGCACTTAATACCATAACTACTTTTACTTCAATTCAAACAATTCTGCTTCTTTATTTTTTAAAAAAGAAAAAGAAAAAAATTCATTTTTTTTCTTTTCCTTTGTTTTCTCACAAACCAAACAAAAAGAAGACAAGAAAACAAGAAAACTTTACCTATAAGGAACCAAGTAAGGCTTCTCAATATCATTATCCTCATCATCATTTCCAAACCAACCACGGTAAAGACCAGGGCTGAAGAAACCGGAAGCGGAGGAGGAGGCGGCGGCGGCGGAGGAGGAGCGGGTGTTATCGTAATCCAACTCGAAGATTGAGGAATCATCAGTGTTGGAGTTAGTGAAAGAGAAGAAATCTTCTCCCATAATTGAAGGAATAAAAGTTAATGTTTTGAAAGCTAGGGATTTTAAAAGATTGAGTGTAGAGAGAGAAAAATGTGAGATTTTGATTATGATGTGTAAGAGATGAAGTTTTTCTGATAGCCGGGTCATAGAGAGAAGAGAGACATTACGGTTGGCTTTTGGGGTTTTTCTTTTTCTTTTTCTTTTTTTTTTTTGTCTTTTTTCTTCCTTTAAGTGCGTGAGGCTTTTAAAAAGATTTTTTTTTTTTTTTTGTTCGTGTTGGATTTGATTTTTACTTCTCTGCAAAAAAAATTAAAAATAAAACTTTTTACTTTCTGCCTCATTTACTTATTGAAATATAATTATTGTAGAACTGAGGGCTCGTTCGCTTTATCTTATACAAGATCCTAAATATAGCTATTTCTAAAATACTACAAAATATTTAATAAATATTGGCTTATAACTTAATTGAAAAGAAACTTAATTTCATTATATAAAAATTAATTGAAAAATGTCATATTATTAAAATAAAGAAATTTTTAAGCATAAATAAATATGGAAAATTTGAATAAATTGAATTAAAAGAGAGTTGGGCAGGCAGACACAAATTGAAATTGCAAATGAGTAGAATTAGGTTGGTAGATGTTCCTTGAAATTGGAGGGACAAAAAAACAGACGAGGTTTATAGGCTAGTTGTTGTTGATTCAGTTTGCAACCGTGGTCTGTATTTATTGGAGTTGTTCTGCCGTGTTCAGGAGTGGATGACGTTGGTTAGTTTGAGCATACGCAGTGGGAGTGAGAGTGGGGAAAAGGAGTTGTGTGGATAGTTCTAGTTGTAAGCGCGGAGTTACAGCTTCTAAAGTCCTCATCCAAGTTTGATTGGGTAAATAATTGGATTAACATCTTGTCTATTTTTATATTTATTTCTAATAAAAAAATATTTTTAATATGTTTTTTATATTTTGAGTTGATTTTTAATTTATTATTTTAGTTAATTTTTTAGATCAATTCATTATAAATTAGTCATGTAATTTGCATATGGTTTATGATTTTAAAAAAAAAATTCTTTGTTATTTGACACAAATGATCTATCTCTATTGATATAATGTTTAATTTCTGAAAATTGGCTTGAAATTTTAACTAGACTGATAGGTTATAAACTAGTTTAAAATATAAAGACAGATTGAAAGTTTTTTTTTTAATGACAAATTGAAATTTTGGTTTATTATAGAAGGACAAATGAGAATATTAATCCTAGATAATTAAATAAAAAAGTGAAGTGATTGGACCCATTAAATGTTTGATGTTAGTAAACTTGATCCTTTTAAATAATGGAACCGATTGTAATTTGAATTCAATCTGATTTCAGTCTAATTCAAACTGGATTCAATTATGATTTAAATTTGCTTATTAAATAGATTAAATATAGATTTGTCTAGGTCCAATTTGATAACAATTTTATTTGAAATCAATATTAATATTATTTTTAATAAATATAATATTTAAAAAAATATAAAAAAATTAAATATAAAAAAAATAGCCTTAAGTTTAGATTTAGAGTTTTTTTTTATTATTATTCTAGCTATTACATTTCTCTTCTTCTTCTTCTTCTTTTTTGTGAAAAATCCTAAAAATGTACGAAAGAAATTAATGAATGAGTTGTTGCTAGCATTATACTTGTGTTTTTAGTTTATAAAATATTGATCCAATTTGGATTTTTATTCATTTCAACCTTGTTATTTGTAAAACACTAGGATTTTCTTTCATACTAATCAAGTTGTGCTTAGAGTAAATATTTTTATTATTTTTCTTTAACTTTTCCATACTTATTGCCTAATTTAAATTAATTTTGACCTTTAATATAATTTTTTATCTGGAATATTTGATTTTTTTTATGGTTAGACATTTTGGTTTCTTTATATATATATATATATAGTTGATACATTGAAACATAATTTTGAATGTAGCCGACGCTTTTTCTTTGAAAAAAAATTTGAATGATAAATTCGATCTAAACCTCGTTAGGATCTGGATTTGGATCGACAATTGCAAATTCAAATTAAAATTCATAACATTCAAATCGATTAATTTATTAAATAAAATGGATCTCGATCTATTGTGATTGGTTTTAAACCCGAATCGTTGATGATCCTACTTTTTATAAGAGAAAAGATTTGATTTTTGTGCTACATTTAATTGTGTAAACAGCAAACCACTAGTTTTGAGAGACTTCGATTGTTACTTCAAATTATTACAATGAAAGTAGTAGTAAAAGCCTCACCTATGGTGATTTGGTAACGAAGGGAAAAAAAAAAAAAAAAAAAAAAGGGCTAACCATATATTCAAAGAAAAATATGACTCTTGTTAGCATCCAAATTTCAGTCCCATTATTTAAAAAAAAAAATCATTCTCATTCAAAAAATACAAAGAAATTCGAAAAAAAAAATGTCATTTTTTTCCTGATTTTTTCTCTATAATTTTTGAATGATTTGATAATTTTCTACAACTTGAATGATACTAGTATTTTTTTCTAAATTTTTTAGAATATTGAAGTAAAAAAAAAAAGAGGAAGAAAAGGAAGAAAAGAAAAACACAAGAAAATCATTTAAAAAGAAAAAGGAAAAGTAGAAGAAATAATACAAAAATAATTTAAAATTGGGGGAATATGAGTGACTAAGGACATAATTGAAAAGAATGAAAAAAATAGGTACTGGAAAAAAAATAAAAAGGCAAAAATTGAGGAGTGTAGGGGCCTAATTAAGGAAAAGATGAAAAAATCAAGGATGAAAAATGAAAAGAGCTTAAATAGAAGGACAAATTTGAACTTCACCTTTAAGAGGAACAACATCGTTTTTTTTTAATCCTCCAAGGTATCCCGAGCCTAAAGACCCACACTAATCCCTCGTTGTTCCGTCGGATACATAAGATGGATACAAATTACCTAGAGAATTTTTTATATACACAAGGACTCAAACTCGAGACTATTTACTTAAGCGACTAGAGCCCATTCCACTCTAGCTAACCCTCCCGGGTAGGAAAAACACTACTTTGAAGAAGAAAAAAATTGAAAAAAAAAAAAAGGCTTGGTTGAAACAACACCATTTAAACCAAGCCTAGCATTATTCATCATCATCTCCCCTTTTTCCCACTCGGCTTGATACCATTTTTCTTGTCATTTTCCTCGTGGTTTTTCTTCTTTTTTGATCAAATTCTCACTTTTCCTTGATAGACCAACACCTAAACTATAACCTTCCCGAGTTTCTACCCAAATTACCCTCCATTTTCTCAGCTAAAAAATCAACCTAAAAAGCCTTGAAAAAAAAAAAAGATAAGAGAGCTTCTTTTGCATGTAGTTTTGGAGCAAAAAAAAACAACCCGTTTCACTCCTTTTTTAGGTCGCAACCGAGTATTGAAGGATAGCCAAGAATAAGCTGCGAAAGGTTAGGATTGACCGATGAAGATCAATAGTCCAAAATGTTATGTGCCTAATTATCTCCACGACCTATGTCTCGACCTCGCATTCTTAGCCTACCTCAAGCTATCTATAGAGAAATAACAAGAACAGGATGGAAATAATTACAAAAGTAAATATAATAGAAAAGTTGAGAATTATGTCACAAACTTAGCATTTTCTAAATCTATCATGCAAAAAAAAAAAAAAAAAAAAAAAAAAAAAGTGGGAAAGAAAGGAGGATTTTCATGGGAAAAAAAAACTAAAGGGAGAACTTTTCTACCAATAAAGGAGTTTGAAAGAAAGATTGAAAACACTTAGGAATTTAGAAAAAAAAAAAAACAAGGACCATCTTGTAAGGAAGAAAATGAGTGAGCAAAATCACAACAAAAACCAAAGAAAAGAGCATCAAAATAGTTGAGCTATTATGACACCACTTCCATTTCACTTTTAAACATCAAACAAGTATGGTTCTCACTCTCTTCCTATTTTATTTTGTTCATTGCATGTTTGTGATTGGTATAAAAGCTTAATCTCATACTCAAACCTCATGAAATAACTTTAAAATGATAAAGAAAACACATTCAAACCCACTCGAAATAGTTAAACCTTGACTAGATAAGGGGTTTTATAGCTATTTTTTCTCATTTGTCTTGATACAAAATTTATCCGAAGGTATAGAAATAAATTAGGCCTAGGTCTCAAGTCCTTTAACTATGAGTGTTTAAAAAGAAAAACCATAAAAACGAGGGAGCTAGGGAAAAAGATAAAAAGAAAGGCTAAGTCATAACCAATGACTAGGTATGGTTTTCAAACCCATTTCTCTTATTCACCTTAATAGATAAGAGTATGAAACTTATCTCAAAGTGTATAGAGACATTAGGGTTAGGTCCTAAGTCTTTGAGTTATGATTGTTTAGAGAGAGACTAAGAAACGAGAGTTAGAAAATGAGTCGCTAACAAGACAAAGCTGGGTAGTAAAATAGAGTCGACTAAGTTATTTTTTTAACTTTTTCTTTAGCGATCCTAATCTAATTATGTTGTAAAATTTGTTTGGTGATGTAAAGGAAAATCGATACTAGAATTTAGGATGGTTTTTGAAGGTCGGTTTGAAAGGAAAACCATAAAGAAATAGTCATGAAATGGCTATCCAAACGCTATCAAAACTGGATTTTTGGGCATTTTTGGGTGGCAATGATTTTTTTGTAATTTTGAGATAGTACATGTTAGTCACGTATTAAGGGAATTTTGGATATTTTGAAACTATATAAGGGTAAAATGGTAACTTCATGAGGTTTTAGTTTGATTATTGTTCCTCGATTTATACTAAATATTTGATATTTTACTAATGAATTGTGGCTAATTTTAAGTGTGAGCAATACGTTATTGTATAATAAACTTATAGGGTCGGAGACACCGGGAATGTTTTAGGTGAAATAAGGTCGAATTAATCCTTTAGAATGGAGTTGGGAGAATGGAATTGAGATTATATTTTTTAGATTATTCGAGGTGAATGCATAATGTCTATGTTGAAATTGCTTTTGAATATGATATTTTATGTGATTTAAATGTCT